AGGTAAGCAGAGTGACTAAGTAAGAAACATACACAACAGACTACACGCGCTGCTGCACGTTTTATTCACGATAGGGAAATGCCACCTGCACAGGATCATGCCAAACACGTGAGAGTCTCACATCCAAGGAAGAACATGCAAATCACACTCTCTATGCCACTACAAACCCTACCCTAAGGGAGAAAAAGAGATGAGGGTTTCAGTGCAGAGACTAACCCATAGCCAGTCATTACACATCACAGGTAGCAGCGGCGCCCCTTCCCCCCGCCATTTCCGCTCAGGGCCCCCAAGAAAGGATTTGGGGTGGAAGTTTCTCAGGAAGGGGCAACCGCGTGCAAACTCGCCTTTTAAGTCAAGCCCGCCTTCCAGGCCCCAGGCCCAGTTTAAACTCCTCAGAACGCACCCAATGTTCCCACGACCCGAAGGCGTCCCGCGACCGGAAGCGGAAACTACGGAATCCCCAGCCCTGCGCAAAGAGGCCAAGACTGAAAAGAAGAAAAAAAAAAAAAGCTCTGTGGAAACCATGGTAACAGTCTTTCCGGCCTCAGTTGACGATCTTCCCAACCCACCCAGGTCTGGACTCTACACCCAACATAGTAAAATCCTCCTTGCGTTAACATCCTTCCGGCTGTGAGGTCATTCCCATTGTGTACCCCGTAATCCTATTAAACCCTTAGTAGGCTTTTAAATAATTTCTTTCTCTGGATGGATCATGGTTCTTGTTTTCTCTTTGGAAGGGACACAGACTCTTTGATACCTCTCCAGACGAAAATAGCTTCACACTAAGGAAATGAACAGATGGTGAATTTTCTGTAATACACTATTGTCGCGGTCCTTCACTAAATAAAGATATGAAAAAAAAACACCCGTGGAATTTAGAGGCAAAGACTCAGTTATGTCAGTTTCGATCTCATTTACCTCTTAGAAAGACCTAATGGAAATGCCTTTTTTTCTTTCTTTCTTTGTTCCTTCCTGGCTTTGGAAATAACCTTCCTTTTATTTCATTTATATGCTACTTTTACTTACCCATTTATGATTATTCGACTAAGTTCAGATCTAATGGTTACTGAAAAATGAAGAGAAAGACTCAAAAGAAGAAAGCAGACCCCTAAGCAGATTCTTGGAGTCTGGGTGTGGCTTTGAGGATAAGCACTCCACTGCAATGTTGGTTTGAACCTTAGGGTGGACAGTTCAAATTCACCAGCTGCTCCTCAGAAACCCTACACTGAGTCACTATGTATCAGAATCCACTCAATGGGACTTAACAACAACAAAGCAGATTCTTGGTAGTGAAGTTCTTTGAGTACCTGACCTAAAGCACACATTTACGCATCCTCATCAATTATGCTCATAGGAACACACACAAAAACTGAAGTCCTTTTCAGAGTAAGCCAGGTCTGAAGTACTAAAATAAAGCTAGAGGAAGCTATCAGTATGCTTGTCAACAAAACTTTATTGAATGCCTTTGTTGTTGTTGTTAGGTGTCATTGAATAGATTCTGACTCATAGCCACACTATGTACAACAGAATGAAACACTGTCTGTGTGCCATCCTCACAGTCATTGTTACGCTTGAGCCCATCACTGCTGCCACTGTGTCAATTCATCTCCTTGGGGCTCTTCCTCTTGACACTACACTTTACCAAGCATGATGTCCTTCTCCAGTGACGCCTGATAATATGCCTAAAGTATGAGAGACAGTCTTTTACCATCCTGAATTCTAAGGAGTGTTCTAGCTATACCTCTTCCAACACATTATTTGTTCTTCTGGTGGCCCGTGGTACTTTTAATATTCTCTTCCAACATCATAACTCAAATGCATCAATTTTTTTATGGGCTTCCTTATTCATTGTCCAACTTTCACATGCATACGAGTCTTTTGAAAACACTATGCCTTGGGTCAAATGCACTTTAGTCCTCAAATTGGCATCTTTGCTCTTGAACACTTTAAAGAGGTTTTATGTAGCAGATTTGCCTAATGCAGTATGTCATTTGATTTCCTGACTGATGTTTCCAAGTCTTCAATCTTTTCTCCATTTATCATGATATTTTTAGTCCAGTTTGAATGCTTACCCTTATACTGTCATGTACTAGTGATACCACTCCAGTTCCTCCTGGACTACCAGAAGTACATAGAAATAAAGTACAGAAAATAAAGTAGTATGTGACAAATGCAAAATAAAGTATATAGGCAACAGCATAATATGGTGAAAATGTACTGGATTAGAAGTCTGGAGATCTGAATTCTATCCCAGTTCTGATATTCATCAGGTGTGGGACCTTGGGAAAGTCACTTAAACCAGGGGTTAAAAGATAGGAATTGAATTAGTTCTTGAAAGAAGGGTAGAGTTTAGATGAGAAAACAGAAACAGGGAAAGCCAAGCAAGGTGAACAGCATGAACAAAAGTTTAGAATTAAAAGGCTTTTTTTTTGTTTTTTTTGTTTTTTAAATAAACTAGTTTGTTGGAACACAGGGATTATACAGGGGTGCAGAGGGAGAACTAGAGGCATTGACTACAAGCTCTGGGGCTCCATTAAATGATTTGAATAGGGAATGACATACAAAGAACTGTTCTAGGAAAATTAATTTGATTATCACTAAGAATAAATTAAAGGTCAGAGAGACTGTTTCTATAATCAAAGCATGAGGTCTAGGTCAGAGTAGTGGTCATGGTAACAGACAGGAAGAAATGGATTTAAGAGACATTCCAAACAGAGAATAAAGAAGAGTTGGTGCCTGACTTAAGTCCAGTGACCTTGAAAAAGATATCATATATAGCACTAGCAGAGAAAGAACAACTCCCCCCCACACACACATACACACACACATACAAAACCAAACCCACTGCCCTTGAGTCAATTTCTGAGACTGAAAATCTTTATGGGAGCTGACAGTCTCATCTTTCTCCTGTGCAGCAGCTAATGGGTTTGAATTGCAAACCTTGAAGTTAGCAGCCCAATGCCTAAACCACTGCACCATCAGTGTTCTTTAGCAGAAACAGAGAACCTGTAAAAAGGTAGAATGGGTCATTTTTAAAAGAAAAATATATTTGATTGGTGAACACTGGAAAAAGCACCAAACTTCAGATCAAGAGTTCTGTAGTGCATATTGTGTTGTCTTGAAAAAGTCACCTAAGTATTCTCATCTACAATAGAGGTTGAATTATATAACAAATATACCTCTTAGCTCTAAAATGCTGAGATTCTCAGTGAGTTTTAAGAGTCAGTGATAATGTAAATAGAATTTTGCAGTGGAAAGTTTACTCAGTGCACTGGCTCAGGCGATAGATTGGAATTACAGATGAAGCTTCAGCAATTTTCTGAGTTGAGGCAATAATTAAAGCTATGAAAGAAGATGAAACCTACAAATAAGTGAATGTGGTCAGAGAAAAGGGCCAAAGACTGAGTCTAGGGGAAAACCCATACTCTAAGGTAGGAAGAAGCAGAATCACTAAGAGGCCTAGAAATCGCTGCCAGACAGGTAAGAGGAGAATCAGTATAGTATGTTGTCATGGGATCCTAGGGAGGAGAGTTTCAAAAGGCAGCACCAGAGTGTCAAATGAGAGATCACCAAGTACATAGCCCTGTAAACACCCCTAGTTTTAGCTATTAAGTGTGGGGTCATTAGTGGTATTGAAAGTACAGTAAATTGTTGGCAATGGGAGTGAGGGTGCAAGGGGTTAAAGACTCACTGGGTGGAATTGGCAGCCATGTGATTATACTACTCAATTAAGAACCATGGAGTCTTGGTAGGATAAGCACTGGATTGCTAAAGGCAAGGTTGGCAGTTCAAACCCACCAGCTGCTCCTTAGAAACCCTGTACAAGATTCTTTATGAGTCAGAACTGATTTGTTGGCACGGAACAACATCAAGAATTATGGCAAGAAAGAAAGAGGGCAAGCAAGCTTGAGATATGTTTTTAAGATTACACCTTTGAAGAAATTAGTAATTATTATACGGAATAAAATCAAAGTTGCAAGATAAAGAGGGGATAACTGATACAGCAGAAGTTCCAGAGCTTGAAAGAATGGGATCAAAAGCACACATGGAGATGTTTGCCTTGGAAAGGAGTTCACATTCTCTGAAATAAATGGAGGCAATTATTCACTAAGCATAAAACTAAAAAAATGGGATGGGAAGGTGGAAGAATGTACAACCGTGATAAACACATTAAAGAATTAATATGCAATGACTCAAATGACAGAAGAGTCTGACACAATTGTCCCAACTTCTCAAAACCTTGGTAGAAAACAAGGTTTTATATAAATTGGGACAAGTCAAAAAGAGAGTACATTATGGTGAAGGATTGTTAAGTGTTGTTGAGTTAGTTCGACTCATATACCCTGTTAGGTTCCCAAAGAGCAGCTGGTGGGTTTGAACTGCCAATCTTGCAGGGAAGGGTAGATGTGAATTCATGAATTTCATCTTGCCTCCCAACAGCACTGGGTAGCCTTTCTTAGTCCAACATACAACTAGCAGCTACAGCTGTCTCTCTTCTTAGGCAATAGATTACATAGGCAAAGAACTATCCCAGAGCAGAAGAACCTGCTAGTCTGGGATTGTGGGGAGATACCAGTGTGAGAGATATAAAGGGAAAAGTACTTGTCTCTGAGCCTGAATGAAAAAATAAACTCAATTCTCGATCCTCTGCCCCAAAGGTGTTCCCTAGAAAGACAACAGCAGAGAGGAAAGTAAGAAGTTCTTTCCATCTACCACAGAACCTGTATTATCTCATCCAGACTTCTAACTTGTGAAGCTCTCATTTCAGGAACATTTCTATTCCTCTTCTTCCTTTTTCCAGAAAATAAAGATTGGTCTTCTAGGCAGAAGGCTTCAATTTTCTTCAAATCAACAAACTGCTTATGTATAAATGTTTTTAATCAGAAAGGATTTATCTTCCCTCAACACGAATGCACACATTAAAAGTAAAATATACAAATATACACATACACACATATATATTTACACAAATTAGAAACCCCAGAGTCACAATCCCTGGGCTAGGGGTTAAGAAGCTGGGCATCAAGAGCAGCTGGAGGAAGGCTTCTTGTCTGCTCTAGGTGTCCCATGGTCATCTCTGGCCATGGTGGGTAGACAAAGAGAGACCAGGATATAGTTCCAGTCTGATGGCAGAATCACTGGCAAACTGTGGCAACAAGGTCCTTTTCCAGATAGTTTTGTAGGATCACTGGACTGACAGGCGATGCTATAGTAGGTGAAACTGGAGTGGATGATGCAGAATGCATTAAGGGTTGCACTCCATGCTGGAGTAAAAGGATGACTCCAATGCTGTTTCCAGTGCCTAAAGGACCATGGCTCAAGATAGTGCCTTGGGAACTAAGAGGAGGGATGCAAATTGGGGTTGTGTGGATCCAGGTCAAGTCCATGGCTGGCCACTCTGGGAAGTGCCAAGGCTGTTTCTGTTTCAGAACTACATGTCCAAGCTGTGTCTGGTTCATCTTTTCCATAGGAGGTACAGGAGAAGAAACAGCTAGATTAATGTGGTGTTTTGGCAAATGCTGGAAAGAACAAGAAATAAGGGAAAAAAATTGTTAATAAAGTTTTCCAGTTAGCCCCATCTGGTTACTTAAATCTTTGCTATCCTTGGGAATGTACTATGTAATCCAGAAGTACCTTGTTTTATGCAAGATATAGTCCTGCCAGATTGGCCACATAAAAGTTTTAGAAACCCAGTTATACTTTAACTTATTCAACAAATTCTTGAGGGCCTACTACGTATCACATACTACATTAGGCACTGGATAGTCAGAGATGAACAAAATAAAACAAACAGTTCCAAAGGTTCTCACAATTTATATAAGAATTTATTTTAGAATTTTCTTAAAGAAGAGTCTAATTTTAAACAAAAGCATCACGTACCAATTTCTGTATTGCAAATTCTAATTTTCTATGTTATTTAATGTGCAAATGAAGTGTAAACTAATAGACAAGAATTTGCTGTCTGTTTTTAAATGAAGTACCCTTACTGAAGTATTCAATAACTGTGGTAGACTAAAAACAAAAAGGATTGGCCCTTATCTAACATACAGGAGACTTTCTGCTCCTCTCCATCACTTGAGTGCTGTCCAAATAGTTTTATTTGAAGGCACAGAGAATACATCACATCTATATACTGGGTCTAAAAATCTATCCAGCATTCCCACTTCCATTCCCTATCCCAAAGGATGTACCTCATGTGACCAGCCCTTGAAACCAGCACAGAGAACACAAGGCTTCCAGAGGGTTTGCAACAAGTATCCTTGGGCAGGATTGGAAAGCAAAATATTTTGGAGAGGATCAGGAGAGAAAACATTTGCAGAAAGAAGTTGAGACATCTTCCCAAATCATTTGGCCGAGTAAAAAGCCTTAGATATCTATGCAGAAAGCTGATAAACTGTAGTATGAAGAAAAAGATTAAACTTCATGGAGTTCTACCTTGTGATTTGAACAAATTAGAAACAAAAACAACTTAGGATTCAAGAAAATAAAAGAAGTATAGACATCCCCTGCTCTGAAAAGCAGCTAGATAGAAAAGGGGAAAAGACCCTAAAATAAATGGAAAGGGGAGCACATTTTTACATGCATACTTCTTTTCCTTAACTACTATCCCATCTCCTCCTCAGATTTACAAGTTCTTACCTTAGTCAGCTGGTGCCTCCTATTACCCAAAGATGATGACCTCTGGGCACCTATATGAGGAAACCAAGTCTTTAACATCCCTTCTACCTGCAATAGGGTTCCTAGATAACGTTCCCTGTGAAGGAGACATAAAAGAAAAGCCATTAAGGATGGGGAGAAAAAAAGAAATCAGGATTAAAGAATATCTCTAATTTTTATGAAGTACTGAAGAATGAAGAGGACCTACCCCATCTGTGGCTTCTGCAAAACTCCTACAATACGTTGGATCCTGTCCATTGCCACACTCTGCTGGAAACTGCTCAGTCCTGGAGTCAAAGAAACAGAATAAGAAATGAAGAACTGAGATTCACACTTTAAGTCAAGTAAAGGTTTAAAGCAGAGTTACCTAAAGAAATCAAATAGTAGAGCACAGACATGGCAATCTACAACTAAAAACCTGACCAGTGAAAACCTTATGAATAGTAGTGGAACAGGATCTGACATAGTGCCTGAAGATTAGTCTATTAAGTTGTTAAGTTGTTCAAAATATGACAGAAGAAGAGCTACTCTTCAAAGTACAGTCAACCTTACTGACGTGGACAGAGCAAAGCTTTCAGGAATTCCATTTGGTGATGTGGCACAATGCAAAACAAGAAGAAACAGCTGCAAACATCCAATAATAAACAGAATGGAGATTGTACTAAGTATGAATCTAAGAAAATTGGAAGTTGACAAAAACAAAATGGAACATTTGGAGATATGTATCTTAGGCATTAATGAGCTTAAACAGACTGATATTGGCCAATTTGAATCAGACAATCATATGGTCTACTATGCTGGGAAGAAAAATTGAAGAGGAATGGCATTACATTCATTGTCAGTTAATATGAGTATTATTCAAATTTATGCACCAATCACCAATGCCAAAGATGAGGAAACTGAAATTTTCATCAACTTCTGAAATCTGAAATTGATCAGATATGTAATCAAGATGCATTGATAATTACTAGTGAGTGGAATGTAAATGTCGGAAACAAAGACAAATCAACAGTTGGAAACTATGACATAGGTGACAGAAATGCCACCAGAGGTTATGATAAAATTTTGCAAGACTGATAACCTATTCATTGGAAATAACTTTTATTCAACAACAGTTGACTATGCATGTGAACCTCACTAGATGGAATACACAGAATCAAATCAACTACATTTGTAGAAAAAGACAATGGAGAAGCTCAATATTATCAGTTAGAAGGAGGTCAGGGGCTGACTGTGAAATATACAAGTTCAAGGTGAAGTTGAAGAAGGTGAAAACAAGTCCAGGAGAACTAAAGTATGACCTTGAGTATTTCTCACCTGAATTGAGAGGCCATCTCAATAATAGAGTTGGTGCACTGGACACTAATGACCAAAGACCTGACAAGTTGTGGTAGGACATCAAGAACATCATTTATGAAGAAAGCAAAAGGGCATTCAAAAGACAGGATAGAAAAGACTATAATGGTGTCAGAAAAGTCTCTGAAACTTGCTCTCGATCATAGATTGGAATAAATGATAGCTTAAGAGTAGAGTTGAAACGGTGGCTTATGAAAACAAAGTGAAGTATTATAATGAAATGTGCAAAGGCCTGGAGTTAAAAAACTAAAAGGGAAGAACAAGGTTGGCATTCCTCAAGCTGAAAGAACTAAATGAAAAATTAAGGCCTCAAGTTACAGTATTGAAGAATTCTGTAGACAAAGTATTGAATGATGCATAGAGCATCAAAAGAAGATGGAAGAAATACACTTACTGTACCAAAAAGAATAGTCAATGTTCAACTATTTCGGAAGGTAGTATCTGATCAAGAACTGATGATATTTAAGGAAAAAACCCAAGCTACACTAAATAAGAGGGTATGTGTGGTTTAAAATCAGGAAAGGTGTGCATCAGGATTGTATCCTTTCACCATACTTACTCAGTCTGTATGCTGAGCAAATAATCAGAGAAGCTGGACTATCTATATGAAGCAGAACATGGCTTCAGGATTGGAGAAAGACTCAACAGATGGCACAAACTTGCTTACTTGAAGCCTTACAACTAAAACAAAAATTCTCCTAATTGCACCAATAAGGAATATCATGATAAACAGAGAAAATATTGAAGTTGTCAATAGTTTTACTTTCCTGGGAATTTACAACCAATGCCCATGGAAGCAGCAGTCAAGAAATAAAACTGTATTCCAATGGGCAAATCTATTGCAAAAGACCTTTTTAAAGTGTCAAAAAGGAAAGATGTCACCTTGAGGCAAAAGGTATGCCTGACCCAAGACACGGGTTTTTCAATTGCCTCATATGTATGCAAAACCTGGACAATAAAGAAGACCAAAGAACAACTGATGCCTTTAAATTATAGTTTTGGCAAAGAATATTAAATACTTGTATACCACGGACTGCCAGAAAAATAAATCTGCCTTGGAAGAAGGACAACCAGAATGCTCCTTAAAGGGGAGTAAGGTAAATCTTCATCTCACATTTTGGACGTGTTATCAGAAAGGACCAGTCAATTAAAGAAGGACATAATACTTGGTAAAGGAAAGTCAGTGAAAAAAAGAGTAAGACCTTCAATAAGACGCACTGACACAGTAGCTGCAAGGAAAAGCTCAAACATAACATTCTGAGCAGGGTTCAGGACCAGGCAGTGTTTCTTTTTATTGTACAGTGATTTGCTTTGAGTTGGAAACAATTCAATGAAAACAAAGAAATTAAATTACAAAAGCAAAAAGAAATAATCCTGGTCCCAAATAATCCCAACGATTTAAGAGAAATACACTTAAAAACAAAAAGCCTAACCAAATGAAAGCAAGTAATCAGATACTTACCTCTCTCAAAGCGACCCATCTTCAGCCCATTCAGTAGGTCTTTAAGTGGACGAACGAATCCTTGGAGTTCTTTACACTGTATTATAAAAATATAAAGGCTATGAGAAAACTAAGAATTGCCCATACCAGTAATGATTCTTCCTGCACTTCCAAATATGGAAGCAAATACTATCCTCACAGAGTCCTTTAACAGTCAGCTGGGTGGTAAGGTACTACAGTAGCTTTTTCTTTCCCCAGTTTTTTCTTACCTTCTGAGCAAAGAGCAGATCTCCTTCTGTTGTACAACTCTGGATATTTAGACTGGTTTCCAATTCACCATCTCTTGACCTTTTAACTCCAGATCCTGCCATAGGAGAAGCCACGCGCTGTTCTAGGTGAGATGCTGTGCGTTGGTTACTGTAAACCTTGGGTCGATGCCTGCAGCGAATAGGACCCGGGCTGGGCCGAGAACCTCCACTCTGCCCAACAGTGTCTGGCCTGGGCCCGGGAAATCTCTTGTCCTCTCCCTCACTATCAGAGGGGTAACCAATGTCACTGTTCGCTGGTGAGGTGGAAAAAGAGGAAGAGAGAGAGACGGAGGAACAGGAGGAAACACTAGATGGAGAATCCATATGTCCAAAAGCAGGGGCTGGCGAGCAGCTCCCGGAGTATCCAAAGATCAAACCTGCAACTGAAGAGGAAAGCGAGGGTGTTTGAAACCGAAGTCTGAGGGTTAGGAAGCAGGGTGGGAGACTGGAATAACATCTCTTCCCCCTCTTCAGAGCACACATTTCAGAGACAATAAAGAAACAAAAGAATCTTCGTCCTCATTCTCCACCCCCATTACGAAACCGGAACTGGTTTTCTGGTATCCCTTAGTTCAGAGTACCCGACCTGGCACCTTCTCCCGGACACCTTCTTCCCAATCCCATCCCTGCCCACTGCTCACCTCGCCTGTTCCCCTGACGATTCCTGTAGTCAACCTTTCCATCTGAGGTCATGCCACCGCCAAGCAGTAAATCCGGATAGATTTCGGGACCCGAATCTACCTTTTGACTCTGCGGGAACCGCCCCAGCGAGACCAGTCTCCGGTCACTTCCCAATCTTTCAAGATCAAGATCCGTGCGCCAGTCCCTCTCAGGTCGCGCTCGTTTCAAGAAGCAATCCCTCTCAATAACAAGATTTGCCCTTTGGTCTCCCAAACCCACTTCCAAAAGATAAGGTCCTCTCCCGCGGCTTGCTCCCCGCCCTCCAAGTGTCCTCACCTGCGTTGGTAGTCTCGGCACAGGCTCAGTCTCCGATCCTTCCCCGTTTCAAGTCTCTGTCGAGGCTACCCACCTCCGCCTCTTTCAATGGGTCCCGCCCCTTCCCCCCTCCCAAACACGTGCGACCAGGCACGTGCCTCCCCCTGTGTACACAGACCTCACACCCTCATTGGTTGTGGAGCCGGTAGCACATGACGCTTATTACAGACTTTCGTAGTCCATTTGCTACAGTACACAGGGGTTGGGCCAATACGGATGCAGTCAGGTGATGATTGGCTGGAAGCGAAGCATTTCGTGCTCCGCCCCTACATGCGACTATGGCTGAGGACCCGGTGATGAAAAAAAGGAGGGGGAAGGAAAATGAATAGAAAAGAAGAAAGAAAAGGAAGAGGGCGGAGCTCATGGCCTTAAAAAGGATGATGACGCTAAAAAAGCGAGGCTAAACGTGCTGAGACTGGATGTGCTACTGGACCTGGGTCCTCTGGCTCCACCTCCGGAGCTTACCTCTCTGCCCTCTCGTAGAGCATCTCTGCTCACGAGTGCAGCACGTGGAATCCTTCAGCCAGTGACTTGTGCTTGCAACATGTGTAAAAGAATAGATGTGTGACACCATGTTTCGTTTCCCTTTGTGGGTGTCCCTTTCGTTTCCCTTTGTGGGTCACTCACTCGTGACTCCCGGTCTCTGTTTTAGCCATTACCTTCCGCCTCCTCTCCCTCCCCCCAATTTGGGTGCTTCTTGCCTTGCTGTATGAGAAGGGTGGGGACTGCCACTGAGAACACCGTGTCCTCTCCCGGGCGTCCGCTGGGGCGACTCCTCCAGCCCTTTCCTTACATAACCTGCCAGACACGTTACTAGCACAGATGCCAGCCTGCCATGACTATAGAGGTTAAAGCCAAATTTGATTGTTCCTGATTTTCTATGTAGACTCCTTGGACCCTGAGCACTAAATTCTTTGATTTCAAATACCGGCAACAGAGTCTGGTAGGTTTTCCATCTCCTAGGATATGACTGTGTCTAGCTTTACTTTTTTCATTTGTCCTCTGGAGAAAATTCTACCTGATTTGAAAATGGGAGAAAACAAGTTCGGAGGTAAGTATTTCAAAGTAACTGGGAAGTTACTATTTGCTTCCTCTTGCAGTATTGAAAGAATGCTGGAAGAAAGAGATAGCGGGGCCCTGGCACTGTGGACTGGATGAAGACAGGACATCAAGAGACCACAAGGGGGCAGTCCAGTTCTGGTAGGGTCCCAAATATAGATAATATATTTTTTAAAAAGGCAAAAGACTAAGTCTGTCGCTATTCTAATTACTAACTGCAACGTGCTGTGGGGCAGGGGAAAAGGATGTAAATATTTAAAATCTATTCTCAGTAGTTATTAACGAACATATATTTAACAATGTGCTTGTTTTATTTTGTATAAACGTTCTAAATAAGCTTCAACCTTCTTTCCCAATACAAAATAATGTCTGGAGCTCATAAACAAAACAGTAGAATTAATGGACTGTAAATAAACCTGGAAATTTGGGCAGAATGAAGAAGAGCAACCACACAACACTGGCTTCAGACCCAAAGAGTTAGGATGATTTAACTCCCTTTCTAATCTATGCCAACATCTTGGTGCTGTCTGTAGTGTTGTGGATTTAAAAGAGACCCTCGTGAAAGTAGGGAAATGACCAGATTATTTAATTTATTCTTTATTTTTATCTTTCAGTTTCTTCTCTCAAATATCCTTCCAAAGAGTTTTAGTTGCCTTCTCTTTCCTAATAAGCAAAGAAATGGAAAAAACAGGATCAGCAGGTTCTGGGGGTCCAGGAAGCCCCTCCTTGCCTCCCCCCTTCCCTACCTCCCTATATCTCTGCATATTTTCTAGATTTCATATTCTGAGCTGGTGGTATTTCCTGGAAGATGTGGTGTCCCCTATCTTTTCATACCTCCATAGTTATTTAAAATCCCAACTTGAATTTCTTTTCCATTACATCATTTTCTCCTCCTTTCCCCCCTGTATCTCCCTTATTGTAGGGAACCACCAACTCAGGTGTCTCTGTACTTTGCCTCTGGACTCTGCCCAACTATCGGGACCCACCCATTTTGCCCTCTGGCACCTGCTATGCCTTACATCAGGGTTAGACTGGAACCAGCTCTGATTCCTTCAGTCTGACTGAAAAACTTGAGAGATCTCTTCTCCATTCTTCCTGCCTCAGATCTAGATCTTGAAGTCCTTCCAGCTCAGAAAAATTGACTCATTGTTAAAGTCTTTCTCTTAACATCTCCTAAACAGTGATATTATCACTTAAGGTTAGACAATATTATTTATTCTAAATGTGAACCCTCTTAAGCAGCCAATAAGTGACAAGGCTGGAAACACTGACCAGAAATACTAGTAAAAATTACTTCACAATGGCTGCACTCTCACCTTCTACATGAAATACATCCCTCCTTGAATGAGGGCCCAGGACAGGATGAGGAAAACAGGACTCTGCAGGTTGGATACAGCATCATTCGTATCTGGACTCTGCTAAAATATAGACATTCCCCACAGTAGGCCAATGTCATCCTCCCTATCTTCCAACCCTACCCCAGGAAGGACAGCCACCATCTTTACACTCACCTCTGTTTCCCTTCCAGGCTTACAGACCTCCCCATCACTAAAAGAAGTCCTTTTCCACTGTGTCTTCCAGCTGCCCTTCATACCAGTGACCCCCTAATTCAATTCAGTGTGTATCTATTTCAAGTCAATTCTACTGTGTGTCTATTATGTGCATGTTACTATGCTAATCACTGTGCTTGGCACTATTGAAAAAGCAAGCAAACAAAAAATTCATTGCCATGGAGTTGATTTGATTCATGCTTACCCCATGTGTTGGAGTCTTGGTGTGGCACTGTAGGATAAGCACTAGACCACAAGGTCAGTTTGAACCTCAAGGTCGGCAGTTTGAACTTACCAGCCACTCCTTGGAAACAGGGTTCCTATGAGACGGAACCGACTTGAAAGCACTTATAATAACAGCAACCTCGTATGTTACAGAGTACAACTGTTCCATAAGGGTTTCTTGACTATGTTGTTGTTGTTGTTGTTGTTGTTGTTGAGTGCCATCGAGTCGGGTCCGACCCATAGCGACCCTGTACAGGGTTTCCGAGGGTGTAAATCTTTACGGGAGTAGAAAGCCTCATCTTTCTCCCGCGGAGCGGCTGGTAGTTTCGAACCGCTGACCTTAAGGTTCGCAGCCCGATTCGTAACCACTACGCTACCAGTTGTTGTTGTTGTTAGGTGCCATCAAGTCAGTACCAACCCATAGCGACCCTATGCACAACAGAATGAAACACTGCAGATCCAGGGCCAACCTTAATATTGTTGCCACGCTTGAGCCCATTGATACTGCCACTTTGCCAATCCATCTCGCTGGGGGGTCTTCGTCTTTTTCTCTGACCCTCCACCTTACCAAACATGGTATCTTTCTCCAATGAATGGTCTTTCCTGACAACATGTCCAAAGTATGAGAGATGAAGTTTGGCCATCCTGGCCTCCAAAGAATATTCTGGTTGCACTTCTTCCAAAATGGATCTATTAGTTCTTTTGGCAGCCCATGGCACTTTCAATATTCTCCTCCAACACCATAACTCAAAAGCATCAATTCTTCTGTGGTCCTTATTCACTGTCCAGCTTTCACGTACATATGAGGTTATTGAAAATACCATGGCTTGGGTCAGGCACACCTTAGTCTTCAAGCTGACATCTTTGCTCTTCAACACTCTAAAAAGGTCTTGTGCAGCAGACTTGCCTAATGCAATGCATCATTTGATTTCTTAACTGCTGCTTCTATGAGTGTTGATAGTTGATCCAAGAAGAATGAAGTTCTTGACAACTTTAATCTTTTCTACGTTGATAAGAATGTTGTTTATTGGTCCCGTGGTGAGGATTTTTGTTTCCTTTACATTGAGATGCAATCCATACCAAAAGCTGTGCTGTTTGATTATCATCAGTAAATATTTTAAGTTGTCTTCACTTTCAGCAAGCAAGGTTGTATTATTTACATATCGCAGGTTGTTAATGAGTCTTCCTCCAATCCTGATGCCACATTTTTCTTCATATAACCCTTGGCTATAGTCTTTAAGAAAACAGATCTCCAGGTCTTTCTGTCAAAGTGCCGCTAGATGAGTTCAAACTGCCAACCTTTCAGTTAATGCTGTTGTAATGTGCTGTTGAGTCAGTTCCAACTCATAGCAACACTGTATAGGGTTTCTAAGGAGGGGCTGGTGAATTTGAACTGCCGACCTTGCAGTTCAAACTGACCTTGCAGTCCAGTGCATTATCCCACAGTGCCATACCAGGACTGACTAAGAGCAAAATATTTATACCACCCAGGGACCTTACTAAGTGCTATAGAAGATATATAAATATTATTAAGATATAGTCCCTGTCCTCAAGGATTTGTGATCTAAAGGAAGACTATACTATACTTTAAAAGATTTCTCTATCCCCGTTGGCAATTTTCAGCTTTCCATCCCTACTAGCTCCTGCCATCTGCATTCAAGGCCCTGAAGATCTTTCTCATTGTTTTGCCTCTTCTATCATCACCAGATTTCTCAAATTGGTATCTAGTTTGCCTCCATTTCCTCACAATTTACTCTTTTTCTAACGACACAAAAATATAGACTGTGCTCCAACCCCTGCATTAAAACTACTTTCTTTTAGGTTAGCAATAGCCTCCTTGGCCTTGGCCTCTTGATAGCTTGTTCTAGTCACCTAACTTTCTACTAGGCTCTTTCGTTCTTGTAATAACCATTCTTCCTCCTGATCATTTAAAATATTTTATAGTCTTTACCAGTTAAAAGTTCACCTATTCTATAAGGTGTATCTTAAGCACAATGGCTGCACAAAAGCTTCTCAGACAACTGTAGCCTGGTTTGATCAAATGATTTTTCCACTGCCTAAAATACTTATCTATGTCATACACTCTCAAATGTATATGTAATTCAACTGAAATGTTGTGAGACCTAAGAAAAAGACTCCATTTTGTACATTGGCCTGAGCATATCCCCCTGTTCCAGGAAAACTACAGGAATGTGCCAAGTCAGCTCGTGATGCATAAGAATAGCCCTCCACCCCTAGCAACAGCAAAAAGTAGTTAAGCATAGCTGACAGCTCAAGGCCAGATGCTGTGTTTTCTCTTATCTTAACCCAGCAGCTCTGGCCACTAGTAATGACCAATCAGATTGTAACACCCAATACCTTGCAAAATGTTAACCAATCCTAGAGTCGCTAAGCTAGAAATCCCCGAGCTTGCTTGTAACCTCAATAAAAAACCCCCGCTGACTAGGAGTTCGGGGCCTTCATCCCGAGTCCTCTGTGTTGGATAGGGATGGGGTCTGAGCTCGAGCTTGAATAAACAACCCTTGTGTGTTTGCATCGGCTGCTTGGTTGTCTTTGGGGACTTCGTGATCTGGGTATTACAATGTAACTGCATCAAATCTTCAGTGTTCTGTATACAGGGCTGGTATTAAATATCAGTGATAAAATATGATGGTCATAATGAAATGAACAACTGCATTGCAAAACTGGTTATTTGGTTCCTCTATTCATTGAAGCCTGATTCTCCAGGCTTAGCTGCATGTTACAAACTCTGCATCTATACAGAGTAAGAGATGTCTCCATTGGTCTCCCTCCTCCTTCCCAATCCCCAATTCAATTCACTCACTGGTTCCATTGTCATAGGTTTCATTGTTACAGGCTTCTGAAGTTCTACAGGATGGGTTGTACTGTCTGTCTCAAGATTAGTGGTTGTTTCTGCTGCTTCTGTTACCTCCTTATCCAAACTGACCTGCTGGCAGTGGGATTGGAAACACAAGAGTTATCATCTCCTGCATCCATCATCCTAATAGACACTCTATTCAAAACTTCTTTTCCTTTACATCTCTTCCCCCAAAATTCAAGGTTTCTTCATACCCTATGTTTGTATGGATCATGTATCTATTCTATTCACCAAGTGTCTTTACTCTAGACTGGTCTTCTTTCTCACTGCCTTAGCAAATTTACTATGCTCTGGCTTCCTTCTTGGTGGCGCTTAGCAAATCTGTCTTAGTCTATTACTTCACTTAGTCTATTATTTCACTTCACCACACTTATTTCTAGTCTTGATAGTTAGGTATACTTCAACATTGCTCAAAATGTTGCTATTTGTTTCTTTTTAAAAAACTGTGTTAAATATAAACTAAAAATTAATGGCATTTGAAAACAAAGCAAAACAAAACAAAATGGGCATTTGTACCAGATGCAAACCTTGACAGAATAAGAGAATTCTAACTGTAAAAGCTTTCTCAAAGGAACAACTTGATAATTAAAAATGTTTCTGACCCACCATACCAGACTCCACCAATTCTCATCAGACAAGTATAACTAAGAAAACATTAACAGAAATACCTTTGCTTTGTAAAACCCTCCCTTTAATTAAAGACATATCTAAAATCCAATCAAAATACCAGGATAGACAGAGATATACATGTGTGAACAGAAACCTATAAACCATGGAACACCAAAGAACCAAGGAACACCCAGGGTTCTGGCTGGCCAAAACCCAGATTTGGAATTTTAACATCCTGAACTGTGAGAAAATAATTGTTTATTCTTTAAATTCACCCACTTGTGGTATTTGTATGACAGAAGCATAAGAAATCAGCTAGTAAATTATATGTATAAAATTGAGAAATAACCAAGCAGGTTACTTTCAGTCCAAAAAATTCCAATCATTGTTATTTCCCACTGGAAACCTCCTGTATTAAAATGCCTGTATTTTCACTACTTACAGGAGCATCTTGTACTGTTCACTTTGGATGCTCCATGTTTGACAATAGCTTCTTGCTTCCATAAACTCTTAATTCTAATTGACTTATTGATCAAATTTTTTTCTTTTGACAGCTGTTTCCTAGCTTGACTTTATTATGCACACAGACTCGCAGATGTCACTCACCAGCCTGTCTTCTGACTCAAACATGGAGTAATCAATGGTGAAATTTACAACAAAATCATCTGGGGAGCAGAAAAAACATCAATGAGACAAGGAAAACTTGGAAATGAGAAAAGGAAAAAATTGCTCAAAGAACTTTAACTTGCTCAAGTTGTAAAATGCATTAGTACTCCTCTAATCTAAATCCTGTGGGTTAATGTGCTGGACTGCAAAGTTGCTTTGAACCGCAAGGTCAGCAGTGCAAGCTCACCAGCTGCTCCTTGGAAACCCTATTCAGGGTTGCTATGGGTTGGAATCGACTCTACAGCACTCAACCACAACAAATCTAAATCCAAATAACTTTAATGTCAAAAATGTTTTTGAAAGAAAGATCATTAGGAACCCCACCCCCCCAAAAATGGCAGTATGACTGGTTACTACAAGAATAAATAAGTTGTTCACCAGGAAGCCATCAAGGCAAGCAATCAAGTTCCTTCCGGACAACCCCCCACCCCCACCCCCAAGACTAAAACTCAAAGGGAACACATGAGTAGGCATGTAAGCTTGCTGATGATCACATTGGTCTACAGGTGAGTGAAAGAGGGGGAAAGGCAGCAATGAAGAAATGGGCTAAGTTCAACCACATTCTTGTTGACCTGGAGATGTGAGAGTGAAGCAGAAGGTTGGTGGTTGGTTCAAAGATCCAAAGTGTGGTAAGACCTGGGGACACCTGAGCTCATGGACAAGGACGTAGCCACAGAGGGCTAGAGTTGAAAGTGAAGCATCCAGCTGATATGGAGTAAGAGGAGGCACACAAGAACACCCAAAGTTGCAGATAGTACCCATTTGACCTAGCCTTGATGGCTTGATAATCAGAACTGGACTAGAGGAAGATTAAAAAAAAAAAAAGAACAAATCCATCTTTGATAAAAAAAATGAGGCTAAATTGCTACAGTTTGATGAACTTGACCTATACTCATGGAGGTTGTTGTTGTTGTTATGTGCCATGGAGTCAGTTCCAACTCATAGTGACCCTGTACAGTGTTTCCAATGCTGTAAATCTTTACGGGAGCAGAAAGCCTCATCTTTCTCCCATGAAACAGCTGGTAGTTTCGAACTGCTGACCTTGCGGTTCGCAGCCCGATTTGTAACCACTACACTACCAGAGCTCCTTATACTCATGGAGGTAGTAACTCTAAATACCAACAGAGAGGGAAGGAGTCTTCACTTTAAGAATCAATACTATCCCCTCTGTACACAGGGCAAATAGAGATGGACAACTTAGACATGGCTACCTAAATAAGGTAAGGGGATGATAAAGACATGAAGTGACTGGCTTACCAAGGTTTCAAGGGGAAGTTTAGTTTAATATTGTGTGGGGGAAGAAAGAGCACTTGCTGAATAGTTTTCATCTTGTCTAGATGGGTCTGGTTAAAAGAGATGGGGATAAGATTCTTAAGATTCAATAGTGAATAATTGTTATCATGACTAATTGCGATTGTCACAATTGTAAAGGTAGAAGTTTGTAACGATAATGGGGGAGCAGTTAATCTTATACTCCAGAAACAAAAGACCCTAGGACCATCAAGGGAGAAGAGCACAAACAGAATGCCAGACCTTATCCAAAGAAGCAGCGACATCAGAGATGGAGGCAGAGATGGGGACATGGAGAGAGGGAGCTCCAGCTGAGGACTCTAGATTCATGGGAAGAGAGGGACTGAGAGCTGGTGGCCAGGAGGCAGACTTGCAGAATGTGCCCTTTGGTGGTGTAAATTATTATGTATGCCTGAGTGTTAAAAAAAAAAGAGCTAAAGTGAGTAGAAAGAAATACTGTTAACTGATGGTATATGGAGGGGATTGTAATCATTGTGATGAAACAAGTTGTATGATTTGTTGAATGTAAAACTGATGATCTACCCTGTAAACATTCACTCAATTCACAATAAGAACCTTTTTTAAAAAATTCAATAAAGAGAAATAATGACAAAAACAAAAACAAAACAATATGTTTGTGAGCACGTATTCATTTCTTTTTCTTTTTTTTAAATCTGGTATCTAAAATAATTTACAAATTTGAAATTTTACAACTTGTTTCAACCAGTTTCCAAAGAGTTGAAGATCACTCGTTTGAAAAATAGCATCATAAATCTTGATAATATTTGCTCATGGACAAATTTCTTTCTGATCCAATTTTTCAATTGAAAAGCAAAGGACAAGATCTCAGAACCGGGTATTTTTAAGTCTTTCTTCACCCTGCTAAGGATCAGATCCTTATATATACTCACCATAATGGGGGGTGACAGTGTACTCATAAATCACCTGATAATAGTCATCCTCTTCCAGTTCTTCTTCGTCCTCAAGTTTTTGTCCTGTGGAGACAAGAACTAGTGATCAAAGGATTTATGGATACCAGCAGTCAATTCTAGTACTGTCAGTTCCCTTTCTCACTGCTTCCCTCTGAGGGTCATGCTATCTCTAAATCCTTCTCCATCTCCATATATGATATGTGGGTCCCTTCATATACCATAAATCCAAATATGGAACCAATTCTAAAAAAAAAAGAACTAGGAAGCAGAGAGAGAGCAGAAATTAAAAAGCCCAAATCTTCTACCCCATATGCTCCAGACCTTATTGTATGTATTTGTAAGAACTCTTGTTTTATCAGTGTCTCACAAATAACACACACACATACATACACTTTAGGCTTATGGAGATTGCAGTTTCAGCTTTACTGTTAACTAGCAGAACAAGTCTGTTTTCAAATGAGTCAGTTATGCTAGATGATCCATTTTAGTTTTTGTTCCTTTACAGAACTAAAAATATGTGGCTTTGATATGACTGAATCAAGAACTCTAGGCCTCCTGGTAGAGGAATACAGAGGAAACAGAAACAATGAGACGCACCTGGCAGACTGAGGAACAAAGAAGGGAAGGAGCCAGCTACTCTTGGGACTCTGTCCTTGAAGGCAGTCAGTTTTCTACTGCCTAAAGACCAACCCCATTTCTCTCTTTACCAATACAAAGTTTTCCCTCCAACTCTCTGGGAAAGAAGATCCACTGGCTTCATTCACTAGTTTCAGACTGCCCACCCTCAAAGAGCCTACCTCTGTCCTTCACTCTCACTTGAGTACCTCTCATCTTGTTCAACTCTGTGGTGCTGGAGAACTGCTAGGATTCCATCATTTCTCATCAGTCTCCTTTTCTTTGACAGGACTCGGGCTTTTCTCTCTCCAACGTGACACTACCCTTCAGCACTCCCCTCTCTTGTCTGTTCGTCCCCATTGAGCACAGGACTCTGGCACAGAGGAGAGTGCAATATCACTACTCCTGTGGCATTGCATCTCTCACCTTCTCATTTTTGCCCCTGTCATTTCATTTATAACAGAAGATTTGACGTAAAAGCTGAGAGAGAGGAGTGAACTTACCCAGGATAAGTGGCACAGCAAGGATGGCTACAAAGAGGACATCCATTCTGGATTCTGCACTATTGCTGTGAAAGTAATAAAAGGAAATTACAGTGTTTCCCACCAAACTTACCCCGCCCCACAGCAAAGCAGGGAGGGAGCTACTGTGACTCTTCTCTCAGGGGACAGAATTGCCCGCCCACTTGCAGAATGACTAGATCTTCTGTCATTAAAGATCATTGGCCAGAGCCACCAAAAAGTGGATTTTGATGTTTATTGAGCTCTCCTAGCCTTGGATTATATCCATCCACAATTCCTACAATCACTGCAAACCACTCCTACTAAGGAGTTTCTGCTCTCCTTTCCTTCCTCCCTCCCAGTCCTCACAAAAATCCACTCTCCCTCTTCCTGTCCCTAACTTACCGACACCATCCCAAGTTATCACAGTCGGAGGAGGAAGTGTGTTTTTCTAGACTGAAATTAATCCCTGTACTCTGCCTGTCTTGGCTATAGAGAATGGTAGCACCTGCTGTATCGCTTCTGATTAAAATCTCTCAGCCATGGCCAATTATTTCCTCTCTGGTAAGTACTGACCTCATCTCACCTCTTCCTCAATTTCTTAAAGACAAAACAGAAAGGAAGAAACATAGTCTGCTTCCCTGTTGCTGACACCATATCTCTCACTTTCATCACTTCCATGTGTTCATTCCAGCCTACAGGGGTGGTGGTGTGCTGTTGACAAAAGTCAACTAAAAAGTGACCCTGCATAGGGTTTCTGATCTGTATGGGAGCAGAAAGCTTCATCATTCTCTCTTGGAGCATCTCGTGGATTCTAACTGCTGACCTTGCCGTTAGCAACACAACATATAACCCATCAGGGCTTCTTAGCCTACAGGGGTAGAGTTCATCTTAGCTTCCCTTTGCTTTTAAGTTTCTAGTTTTCATTCAATTGAGAGATATTTATTAACATATGTGTTAGGCAGTCTTTTAGGCTACTCAAGATTCATAAGCAAAGGGACAAGAAAAGAGTACACATTGTTGTTTTCTTAAAATGGGTATTAATATGTAACTATCTACTCAGCATCTACAAGCCAGACACTATACAAATCTCTATGGAACTAGACACAAGACAGGTTTAGAGCCTGCCTTTGAGTTACGGTGATGGAGGAGAATATTGAATGTGCCATGGGCTGCCAAAAGAACCAATAGATCCATTTTGGAAGAAGTGCAGCCAGAGTGCTCCTTAGAGGCCAAGTTGGCCAAACTTTGTCTCTCATACTTTGGACATATTGTCAGGAGGGACCAGTCGCTGGAGAAGAATATCATGTTTGGTAAGGTGGAGGGTCAGAGAAAAAGACGAAGACCCCCTGAGATGGATTGGCCAAGTGGCAGCATCGATGGACTCAAGTGTGACAACATTATTGAGGTTGGCCCAGAGATCTGGCAGTGTTTCCTTCTGCTGTGCATAATAAGGTTGCTATGGGTTGGTACCAACTCGATGGCACCTAACAACAACAACATCATTGGTCAGAAGATGCTGTGGTAATAACTCAAAGGAAAGATGAGTTATCTCATTCTTATCTCTTAGACCAACTTGAGCACTGGCCAGATGTTCTCACACTTTCAACCCTATTGGAGGAGGGTTTGTTTTGTGGTTTTCTGTGTAAATCTTCACAATCTATCTATTAATTCAATTTCTTTCTAGACTTTCCTAGAAAAAAACACTTATGTGGGTGTGCACATATACATGAAGTCATGAATAACTTCTCTTCCATCTTCCCTTTTTGGAAACTTTTAAACTCAGTTGTGTCTGACAGTAAAGCATTTAATACCTTCACTCCTTTTAACCCCAACCTTCTACCTCCACAGGGGTGAAAGGGATGGAGAACCAAAAGAAGCATGGTTCTCTTTGAAAACTGTTTATCTACAGTTTTTTGGTACCTTGCTCTTCAAAAACAGTATTCTAGATTCTCTCATTTTCCCACTGGTAGTGGTGGCGGCTGTGTGCCGTAGAATCGGTTCCGACTCATAGCGACCCTGTACAGGGTTTCTGAGGCTGTAAATCTTTACGGAAGCAGAACCGCTCATCTTTCTCACGCAGAACTGCTGGTAGTTTCTAACTACTGACCTTGCGGTTTGCAGCCCGATTGCTTAAACTACTTCCAAACAAATGAGGTTACAATACCCTCTTCTCCTAGTGTAATTTTCTTTGACTCTAATATGGAACTCCTCTTCCTTCCCTTGTTGTTGTTGTTGTTGTTATGTGCCGTGGAGTCGGTTACGACTCATAGCGACCCAACACAAGGTTTCCGAGGCTGTAAATCTTTACCGGAGCAGACCGCCTCATCTTTCTCCCGCGGAACCGCTGGTAGTTTCCAACTGCTTACTTTGCGGCTCGCGGCCCGATTTCTTCCCTTAGGGCCGAGGAAAAGACACTACTAAGATTTATTTTCAGAAAATAGAGGGGAGTGTCGATTTGCCTCAACCTCGTCATTCTAACAGCGTTTTAATTCCAGAATCCTTCTAAATGCCTTCCTAAAACTGCTCTGCAGGCTCCTCTTGATTCTCTCTGATGAAAGCTTCTTTAGCGTTATATTGTATCCCAGGTTTCCTATACTAGCCTGACAAAAGAGTTCCTACTTTTAAGTCTAACCTTCATCCCTTCGGCAGCAGCTGCAGTGCATTTCCTCTCATTCAAGTAAGAACAATACTCACTCCTATCTCCCCGCACTAGCTATCCTGTACAGACTTTGTATTTTTTGTCAGTTAAGTTAAAACAGGATCTTCCTCTTTCTGTAGTCCTCCAAGAGGTAGGATCGCTCCCACCCTTTTTCAGAGTGACTAAAGGAAACCGTCTGCGACGCAGAGTCGAACCCAGGAATCCGTGTCCCGGCCCCGTCCAGTCGCAGCCCAACCCCTTTTCCCGGTGGGGACCACTCCCAGGACAGAGGTCTAGGGCTCGCAGAGGCTGGGGCACTACAACTCCCAGCAGCCCGTACGGCCCCACCTCCGCAGCCCTGCCCCCATCGATTCTCCATTGGTCTACAGGGGATAGATGGGCGGTGGCCATGGGGCTGCGGCCTAGATTTTGTACTCAACCCGGCTTCCGTAGAGGAAGTCGCGCGGACCTTCAGCTGGGGTTTCGGTACCCCCCCTCCCCCTTTCCCGGGGTCTGGGGGTGACATTGTACCGCGCCCCTCGCGGGGTCGCGTCGCTACCCTTGCACGGACTTTCAGCTGGCGCACCCCTCCCATTCGCCTCCCTGAGCCAGGCCTCCACCCCGCCGCCATCCGCCCAGCCATGGGGGCCGCAGTGTTTTTCGGATGCACTTTCGTCGCGTTTGGCCCAGCCTTTGCGCTTTTCTTGATCACAGTGGCTGGGGACCCGCTTCGCGTCATCATCCTAGTCGCGGGGTGAGTGGGGTTCGAGGAGACGTGAGAGGGCACTAAAGAGAGAGATCCGGAAGGGATTGAGGAGCTGGGTCTAGCCTGGGAGCTTAGGTTGGCGGAAACAAGTCAGTCGGAGGTGAAAGTTAGAAAGGGTCGGATCGGTGGTGTGCATGATTTGCCCTTTCTCGCAGTTGGTTTTCGCCTTCCAAGGATCGCAGCGATTCCTCCTGGACTCCTCCCGGTTACCTCAGAAGAGGCCCAAGGCCAAGACTCGTGAGGGGTCTGTACTGACCTCGTCCGACCGAGTCAGACGACCTAAGGGAGGATCCAGGAATGGATACCTCGTCCTTTCGTGCTCGCACACTTTGGCCCTCATCCTTCTGAAGAGTCTTTAATCAAATTTCTATCTCTTCCCCTGTGTCTAGATCCCTACAGAAGAGTCCCTAGCCCATTTGACCTCAGTCTCCCTGACCATCCGGAAGTGTAACTTCCACTTTTTTGTGCTTCAGTCTTGGCTGATTCCCCTCCGTGATTTCTCTGGCTGCCCCTATGCTTGCTTGTCTGATTGCCCTTGTCTTTCCTCAGGGCATTTTTCTGGCTGGTCTCTCTGCTCTTAGCCTCTGTGGTCTGGTTCATCTTGGTTCATGTGACTGACCGGTCAGATGCCCGGCTCCAGTATGGCCTCCTGATTTTTGGTGCTGCAGTCTCTGTTCTTCTGCAGGAGACGTTCCGTTTTGCTTACTACAAGCTGCTTAAGTAAGAAGATGGGGTCGCCTGGGAGGGAGAAGTGGATTGCACTATAGGGGAGGGGACAGCACCTGGGTGGTAGTTGGAGGAAGAGACACTAAGGGAGAACATTAGAGGGAAAGGAACACCCCTGCCCTCCCTCATGTTTCCCCCACCCCTCCCCACCCTACCCCAGGAAGGCAGATGAGGGGTTAGCATCGCTGAGTGAGGACGGAAGATCACCCATCTCCATCCGCCAGATGGCCTATGGTGAGCCAAGGGAGAGGGACTGGAGGAGGGAGTTGGACACCCCTCTCCCCTGGGATATCTTTAAACATCCACATATTTTCTGTGACTTCTTGTTTTCCTTCCTATCTGGCCTCCCAGGAGAGATGGCTGGAGGGAGAGTAGGCATGGGAGACTTGTTGACTGGGGATGGGAGGGGTCTCTGTTCACCAGGCTATAATGATCTCTGACATTGATGAGAACCTCCCTCCCCCCAGTGTCTGGTCTCTCCTTCGGTATCATCAGTGGTGTCTTCTCTGTTATCAATATTTTGGCCGATGCACTTGGGCCAGGTGTGGTTGGGATCCATGGAGACTCACCCTATTACTTCCTGACCTCAGGTGAGACCCACTTCCTGTCTTGCTTTCATGCCCCACTCCTCCCTGACTCAGATCTGACTTATTGACCTTTCTTGTGAGACTTCTTTGGCCCAACATCTGAGAAGGCTGGAAGAAAATCAGGATATTTCTCATTCTCTTCTCCTTCCCTGCAGCCTTTCTGACAGCAGCCATTATCCTGCTCCATACCTTTTGGGGAGTTGTGTTCTTCGATGCCTGTGAGAGAAGACGGTACTGGGCTTTGGGCCTGGTGGTTGGGAGTCATCTACTGACATCAGGACTGGTGAGTTGGGGAGAAGAGCCTGAGTTAGAGATGAGAAGCATTTAATGATGGTTAAATGATGGATGGGGGAAGTATATCCTCTTTTCTTAACATTTTAAAAAACTTACCTTGTACTCAACACGGGAGGAAGTAGGAAGGTGAGTCTTTAGGGGTCTCTCACTTCAAAACTAATTGTATTACCTGCTCTGGGGATTCTGTCAGGGATATGTTTGAAGGGATTGACCCAACTAATACAGATGGCCTGAGGTGAACGGGAATGACCTCTGAGGAAGCTGAAAATCAAAAGTGTTCTTTACCACAAGATGCCAGTGCTCTGAAGGGAAGGACTAGGGGATTTTAGTGAGGTATCTGGGTAGGTTTGAGTCAAAGGCACAAAAAGCACGAAGATAAGGTGTGGGAGGAGAGACTATAATCTCTTTTTCACTCTTACCCCCATCCCTAGACATTTTTGAATCCCTGGTATGAGGCCAGTCTACTGCCCATCTATGCAGTCACTGTTTCCATGGGACTCTGGGCCTTCATCACAGCCGGAGGGTCCCTCCGAAGTATCCAGCGCAGCCTCTCGTGTAAGGACTGACTACTTGGACTGATCGCCTGCCAGATCACCCACCTGCCTGCCCACTGCCCATGACTGAGCCCTGCCCTAGCCCGGGTCCATTGTCCACCATGCTCTGTCTCCTCGTCGGTCTATCCCACCACCTTCAGGGTTTTGTTTTGTCCACTCGTGACCTTTAGTCTCTAGGTTTTACCAGGAGCAGCCTGGGTATAGCCAGTCAGTGACTGGTGGGTTTTTCTCTGCACTTATCCCCACCACCTGGGGACCCCTTGATGTCCAGCACTCCCCATGTGTCAGTGCTCTGCTCTCACCCTGCCCAAGACTCACCCCCCTTCCCCTCTGCAGGCCGACGGCAGGAGGACAGTCGGGTGATGGTGTATTCTGCCCTGCGCATCCCACCCGAGGACTGAGGGAGCCTGGGGGGGGACCCCTGGGCCTGGGGTGCCCTCCTGATCTCCTCGTCCTGTATTTCTCCATCTCCAGTTGTGTGGACAGTGCAAATTGCCAAGCAAAGGGATCTAGCTTAACCATTGGCCTTGAGGTGAAACTGATGGAGGCTCAAGGGTAGATGGGCTCTGAGTTTCCAAGTATCCTCTCCCCAGACTGGACATCTTGGTCTTTTTCTCAGGTCTGAGGGGAGCCATTTTTGGTGTGATTAAGACCCCAAACTGCCTTTTTTTCTTTTTGAGGTGGGGAGAGAAGAGAGGTATGTTGAAACACTTCTCCTAACCTCCTTAGGCTATATTTTCCCTCCTCAGATTGCTCCCCATGTCTGGGTTTATATCTGTCCCCTGTTCCCTGGTCTTGGGGCAAAGGAAGGGAGTGCATGTTTGGAGTTGCGAACTGGTATTACTGGAACTAATGGCTTAACCTCCTCGACCACCAGCACTCCTCCTTTCCCCAAGGTGAAGTGGAGGGTGCTGCTGTGAGCTGGCCCGCTCCAGAGCTGCAGTGCCACTGGAGGAGTCAGGACCATGACATCACAGGGAAGGGGAGGGCAGAGTTTTTTCTAGTTTTTAATTGGGGTTTGTTGGGGGGGTGGGAGGTTTTCTATAAACTGTATCATTTTCTGCTGAGGGTGGTGTGTGCCATCCTTTTAATCAAGGTGATTGTGATTTTGACTAATAAAAAGGACTTTATAATTGTGGGGGACCTTGGCTTTTAAGGGAGGGGTATCATGTTCATTGAGACTTCTGCCCTCATGTTTCTTGTTTGGCCTCCTTCCTAACTTGACCACTCATGACCTCTAGGCATAGCATCAGTTCCAGGGCAGAAATCTGGGATGGCAATTTCACACATCTGAGACTTGGAGTTATTGTCCTAGAAATGGATCTCCCCTTTCTGGACTGAGATGAAAGGAGTTAATCACCCATAGTTCTTTGTCATTGTCCTTTGCCCACTTTCACCATTTGAACTTTCCTGAACATTAAGGAACTTTCCTGCCAGAGATGAGGTCTAAAACTTTTAATTTCCAAATATACTGAGCAAAAAAATAATAACTCTAACAATAGCAATTCCCTGTCCTAAAATGAGACCCAGCTATATATTTCGGGAAAGGTAAGGGAGTCAAAGCTTGCCCTCTGCATTAACAACAAAGGGGTCTTATCTCCTACGTGTTTTGAAGAGGGTGAAGACTCTGCTGTTCTTCCTTGGATGAGATCCTGGCTCCATGCCTCTCCGTAGGGCTTATACAGAGGAAGGAGGCACAAGTGCCTGCTAGTCCTACAGTAAGTAATTATGATCACTCCCTGTTCCCCATTTTAGAAGGCATCCTGGATGTCTTGAGATGGAGTCTATGCCTCGGTGGTGGCTCTGGCTCGTGCTGACGTGAAAACTACACTCTTAGGGTTTCTCAGCCTCTTCTTCCTGAAAGGAGGAATGGTTCATGGAAATGACTGATGTCCTAGGTAAAGCAGATTAGAGCTAGTTATGACAATGCTTTTCACAATAGAAAAAAAAGAACTGGGTGAGTGGAACGGAGGACCTCACCGAATCTTCCTAGCGATGAAATAAACAGCCAGCAGAAGGCAGAGACAGCCCACCAAGATTCCCACACCTAGACCCAGCATTTCACCTGAGGAGGTAAAGATGGAAGGTGTCAGCCTTGCCACTAATGTAGTAGTCTCTCTCACTTGCTAAAGACTTCCGCCCCAGCTGCTGGGTAGAGCTGTCTTACCTGTGGTATATAGGGATCCCACTGTAAGAGAAGAAAACCCGAGTCAGTGGGACTTCAGATCCCACTTCTGTGCTAGGAATCGCACTGGACACCAGCGGTTGGACGAGCTTCTCAGTCCAAGCAAGTCCTGGCGACACTTTCCACTCTTAAGTTTTTTTCCTTCCCAGGGACTCCCCAATTTCGTCTCTGAGACCCTCAATTTCCTATCTGCATTTTGGAGTCCCACACAGTCACCTTGAATGAAAGAAGCAAAGACCGATCGGTGATTGAGAGGTTGGGGAGCTCGGTAGTTCTGCACCAGGAGTTTGGAGGGGTCCTCTTCAGTGGAGAACAGTGTCTCCTGAAGCTTTTCCAGCTGGGGAACCGAACAGTGGGATTTGGGAAGATGTGTCACTTGGGGGAGTGAGAAAGGGTCTGAGGTCACACAAGTAGATCTCTCTCAGTTGCCTCACCTCACCATCACTCACCTGGCCCTTGGAAATCTGTACCCTTTGATGAAAGACTGTCCAGAGCACACTCTGGTAGCAAGGGGGCGTGGTTAGCGAGCCATTGTAACGGAAGAACTGCTCCAGCTGTGTGGGGAGCAGCTCTCTCACATTAAAGGGAGGCACTGAGGTCTTCCGATCTGGGGAGGACAGACCATGACTCATCTTCCTTTCACTGTACCCTAGCTTACCTAAACTGGGCTCCCAGAGCAAACCCCTGTGGCCCCTAACTTGACTCATCTCAGGCATCTTAGATGAGTTTTTGAAAGTCTATAATCTCTTCCTCCCTATGTAGATTGTTAGGGCTCACCTTTATGCCTGATTTCATGCAGATAATTGAGAATGTGCTCATAAGCTGGATTCATGGTCTCTCCCACCTAGGAAGGGAGGAAAGGGAGAGAGTTTGGAGTACGTGGAGCAAGATATCCAAGTACAGCGTAAATGGGCAGACAAGGCAGAATAGGGCTGAAGGGAAGGGTGTGGAGAGAGACCTAGGGAAGGATTCAGGGCCACTGACCTCAATGAAGATGCCCAGGACAACTAGGCCCTGGGGCCTCTGAGCAGCCTCACTCAAGTTGTGGTAGGAATCAGAATCGTAATGTACAATGTGAAGCTGAATGAGGGCAGAAGAAGTTGAGTAATTTAATGTTCATTTTCTTTTCCTAGTTCTTGATCCTAACCACTCCCACATCCAACATACCCTAAATGTCTCACAAAAGCTGACCTTATCTCCCCAATATGACTTATGGGGTCAGACATGATTTTCCTCAGTGCTGACCAGCCCTGTCACTGGGTCCCAGTCTAAGCTCTTTGCACCCTGGTACCTCTGCAGCTGTGGCTTCGCCGTTGAGCTGATGCTCCGATCCCCCTGGGGATCCTTTCTGACCCCAGTGCAGGTGGAGTTGGGCAGCTACATATCTTCGGGGGAATCCTTCCAGGTACAGTGTAGGGGGCAGAGAGAGTTGCACTGTGAGGAAAAGAGAACCACCTAGGGCTGGTGGAAGAATGTAGGTACCATCCCACCCCTGGATTACCATCACTTTTTGGGTGGTGTACCCAGTTTTTCTGTCTCCCTCCTTCCCATTCCTCTGATAGGCCAATGCTAGTATACCACCCACCCCTTTCCCCAAAAGGAGTCAAGTCAATGCTATGATACTAGCTCACCCATAAAGCTTGGTCATAGACTTTGAATTTCCACCTGGGCTATATGAGCCTGATCCCCATTCTCATATCCCCACATTCATGGATGAGACCTGAGAACTCAGAAGTTAGGAGAATGCTTCTTTCCCCTGACTCCTAAGATTGGAATTGGATCCTAAAGCTTGGAACTTTACCTGTGTGGCCATTATTGTGTAGGTCTAGAGGCTCCGTGCCAGGCTGGTCATATCCACGAGGTTGTAGAGCAGGCAACTCTGGGTCAAATGTAACACTGTCTGTCTGGATGTCGATGGGAGACTGGGCATTGCCTCCACACTCAGGGTAAGTGGCAGACCAGTGGTCCTGACCATGTGGGCCTGGTGGGGGTTACCAAGAACATTTGTCCTGTTCTCCAGCCCCAGCCACCCTTCTCCAGCAAATCCACGCCACAAGTTCTATATCTGTGGTGGGAGAAATTATTTCCCTCCTCCACCCCAGGTAATGGCCCAATTGTGCAAGGCTGGGTGAGGTAGGAGTCCCTGCTAGATTGTATTTCCCCTCACCTATCCAGAGGCAATGATAGTTCCCCAGTTCTCCTGATAAATGGGGAGTGGTAGCTCTTTCACTTACCTGCAGTTTAAGGGTAAGAGCTGAATGAGAAGAGGGAATGGATAGAGAGCCTGCATACCCCAAGAGATTGGAGAGTAGGAGTAGGAAAACAGACAAAATGATCCTAGAGAGATAGAGTCTGCTTGGGGTCCCCTTCAAGTGGCCTTGGGGTTCAGATATCCTGACTTTCCACTACTCACTTCTTGTTTTTACACTGGGCCTCACATTGGCTCTGGAGTTCGGTTTAGTCATTAATCAATGGTTCAAAAGACAAGGGAACTGAGTTCCACCTCCCTCAAGGGTCACAATTATCCTGCCAGACTCTTAATCCCTGACCTCATGCTGTGTCCCAATACACAGTTTTAGGCCTGGTGTGGGGGTGGGAATAAGGGGCCAGAGTGGGTAGAGGGTAAGGGCGGGTGTGGGGAACGATTAGAATAGAAAGAGCCAGGACAATTGACAGATGAGCTCAGGATTCCTTTTCCTACTCAGTTTCCTGCCCTTTCCACTCGAGCTCCCTCACTCTCACAGATTTACTAAGGACCTAATGCCTTTCAGCCAAAACAGGGTCCAGGAACCATGCATGCAAAACCTGGAGCATGAGGTCAGGGGAGAATTAAAGTAAGAAACTAAAGAAAACCCCACCATACGATACAAGTCTTCCTGCCAGGTAAGAAGATTCCAGAGGCCAGTTAGCAATTGGCTGGTAAACAAAAGGTCAGCAGCTTCTCCTCAGGAAGAAGATGTGATAATCTGATCTTTTAAAGTTTACAGGCTTAGAAAGAAACCCTATGGGGCTGTTCTCTGTTCTCTATGAGTTGGAACCAACTTGACAGCAGTGGAAGGAGGTCCCAGTGTGAAAGGCAGCGGGAAGGTTCCATTCTCACCCTCATATGTCCAGTGTTGACCTGCAAGGCAGAGTAATTTAGGTTATAGGCAGTGCAGCCTAGGGCAGAGCCCTGGCCTCTAGGCTCCCTGCCTTCCCTCAGTTACTCAGCTTCTTCACCTCCCTCCACTCCTTTACTTCCCAGGGGAAGCAGTGAAACAGGACACCTCAGTGGAAAGGTCGGGGGGCCTATTTAAAATCAACAGTCAGGCTGTACTTGTGCTAGCGCTTGCTGAGTAAAGCGGGAGGAGGAATGAAAAGAGATAAAGTCTAGAGACTAAAATTAACCTGGGTCCAAATGCGCAGTCAGCCCAACCCTTACTTTTATCTGACCTGTGCCAAGGCAATCAAACACTTCAGAAGATTAGGGTGGGGTGGGGTAAGCAAAGTGAAGGATAGAGGAAAAGAAGTTCAGAGTTGGGGGAATCCCACTGAGAAGAGGAGGTGGGGATTGATTATTCATTTGCTTTGAAGCATTGTGTGAATCAAGGGCTTGTAGTTGTTAAGTGCTTTGGAGTCAAGTGCCTTTGGTGGGTTCTTAATTTATAGTGACCCTATATAGGGTTTTCAAGGAGTGATTGGTGGGTTTGAACCTCACACCTTGCAGTTAGCAGGGCAATGAGATATAAATTAATATTTCAATTCTTCCTTTCTGTCCCCAGCAACTCTGGAGGAAACTCCCTATTGTTAGAGTTTCTGCTTCCTAGACTCCCAGATGGTTAAGGAAGGGTAGGAGTCAGGGCAGGGTCTACTCTAGGTTGAGGGTGGTGGGTGGGCACAGGCAGCCAGCCTGGCAGGGACATGATGAAAGTGAAGCATTGTATGTAGAAGAGAGAGCTGCCAGCTGGGTCACATGCCAGACACTCGTGCAGTCCGGTCTGTGAGTGAAAGGCCCGAGGGTCCTCTCCCCACTCAGGACCCAACAGCTTCAAAAGAAGGAAAAAGGAGGCCTTCATGTAGGTTTTCTCAGCATTATTCAAATTGCTACAAGCTGGGGGGTAAACTTCATTCTATCCTTTCTCTTCCTCTTATTCTCTTAATCGTCTCTCCTCCTCTCAGGGAGTCCTGGTGTGGTGCTATATAGTATAAGCACTGGATTGCTGACTACAACGTCAGTGGTTCAAACCCACCAGCCTTTCTCAGAAATCTTATATGGGATCACTATGAGTCGGGAATTGACTCAATGGCACTTAACAACAACAAAACGACAGATGTCCTGGATCTCACTGTTGATATTCTGCTGACCCATTCCTCAGTTAAGATAACTCTGAAAAGCAGCTGGAGGCAGCCTCTCATTTACCAACTCTGTAGGATGTCCTGAAAACTCAAATTCCCTGGTTTTGCTCAGGCAGGCTGACAGCCTCGCCCTTCCCTCCCACCAAACTATCAATGCAATGATTTGACATTCCTCCTTTTTTCCTATTTTTTCTCTCTCTTTTCCTTTAAATGCAGTTTGTGAGTCTCCGTTCAGGTTCAGTTTCCTCCACTCCCATATCATCCTCCCTTTTTCCTCTCTAGACAGCGCCCCCTAAACCCAACAAACCCCATTACACACCTGTTACGTGCTGGATACTACACTAGTATTTTGTGTTTCAGGAAACACAAAAATTAGGTGCAGGTAGTCTCTGGGGACACATCTGAATTGCCTCATAGCCTGTTTGCTTAGAGTTCCCTTCTCTGTTGTTCTGCTGTTGTTGTTAAATGCCTTCGAGTCGGTTCTGACCCATACCAATCCTGTTTAGGGTTTCCAAGGAGCAACCAGTGAGCTTGAACCGTCAACCTTGCGGTTCAAACCAACTTTGCAGTTTACTGCATTAACCCACAGTGCCACACCAGGACTCCAAGGGTTGAATAAATGTTGACTATTATTGCTACACTTTTCAGGAAAACAACTGGGAAATCAGTTGCTCCCTAGAATCAAGAAGCAACCTTTGGCCTGATGTTGTCAGTAGGGGACAAGGGTCTGAATTAGGCAGGATACGTAGAGTATGGCTAGGATAAGATTCAATATACTTTCCCTCCCATTCGCCCAGCCCTACCCTAATCAGCCCTCTGTCCTTTTACTCCAGACCTTCTTGGATCTCTAGTTGGAAGACTTAGAGATAAAGAAGATCTGGAGGACTGCTTCAAACTAGCACAGTAGGAAAAAGAGCTTCAGAAAATCTGTAGCCTGCAAAAAGATTCCCACACTTGGGTGCTGCATAAACTGGTCTCTGCCAGTTCTCTCCCATCCCCAATAACAGCAAAACTGGAAAGGCAAAGAAAAAAGAAGGCAAGTTGTCCACTCCTGCCACTCCTCTCTTTTCCCTCCATCCTTGGGCTGATTATTCCAGCTCCTAGAGTCCTTTTATACTTTCTCCCCACATTAAACACAAGGCAACAGGTGGATATCAGCACAGACTGACACACAGACACCAGATGTACCTACCCCTGTCTGCAGCCAGGATCCAAATGAACGCTAGCAGGAGGGTGAAGAACAGCATGTTATCGCAGGAAAAGGCACAGGGGACTGGGAGTTTGGGGACTAGAGGACTAGGGCAGGCGGAGAAGAGAAAGGAGTTCCTGATGTGGAATGAATTGATCTCTTTCTGCTTGTCGGACTCTGTGTGCCTCTACAGTCTTCCCCAGCGATTTGGTTTTCAGTGGATACAGTGGATTTCTGGGTCTCCGGGCAAAAATCTTGCTGTCTCTCGGTCCTCTTATACCTCCCTCTGCAGTCTCCACTCCACTTGGCTGACCAGCGACTTCACAATTGCCTCCCGCTTTTAAGGTGGATCGGGCGGGTGTACATGGGGAGGGGGGTACTGCCAGGGCTGCTAGCAAACAGCTCTTTAAATAGCCCATTAGGTATGCAGGATGGCCCAGCTTGGAGTGGAGTGACCAGCGGGTTTCACTGGAGCCCTGGCCTGGGCTCAGGAGCACAGCTGGGGTGAGCTCTTCCTTCCTTTACTGTTCATACAGATACTGCTCTGACCTGTGTCTCCTGGAGCGGGCAGGGCTGGGGAGGGGGGCTGTCAGGGTCCAATCCAACCCCCTCAAGGAGCACTGGGTTCTTGTCCCCCTATCTGGCTTCTCTGAGGAGCAGCTTCCTAGGTGATATGAAATAGTTGGTGGTGCACCAGTTCCCACCCCCTGTAGAATCTGAGCGGCCCGGAGTAGGAAGAGTTCAGGCTTAGGAGATCGATAGCAATCGGGAGTTGGCAGCTGAGGGTGCGGGGGGTGAGGGGCATGAAAAGCCAGAGTTTGGGAAAAGAGGAATAGAATTGAAGAGAGGAGGACTTTATTCTGAGGGCTCTTTTTTCCCCGGAGCCTGTCACCCACCCCCTTCCCACGGTGAGGCCTGGGTCCACGTGCCTGCGTGGCCTCACGGGGAGAGGTTTTGTTGTCTGCTGAATAAAGCCCATTTGTGTGTCCAGTGGGGGAGGGGTTACCGCTGCACCACGGAGAGACAGCGGCTCCAAACGCCCGTCCCAGTCACCACCCTCCCGGGGGAACCCAGATCTAGGGTGGCTTTTGTCACAGGAGAGGACACTGACCCACGACAGGGAGGCCAGGGCAAGGGAGAGCGGCAAGAGCACTTTACAAACAACCGCTAGCACTTAGCAAAAATAATAAAGCGGACTCCAGCGAAAGACAGGGGACAGGCCAGAGAGAGACCATATAGTGCAAATGGGGGAAGGGGCCAGGGGTCTTTTCTAATACCTAACAAAGGGCTGAGGCAGGGCTAGAGACTCTGAGTAAAACTTGTCACCGTCAGATCGGAGCCTAGAGGCTCCTTGTCTTAGGAATGTGGACTGGTGTTTGTTTCCCCATGGGACTGGAAATCCCGATAGGAATGTACATCTTAAATCCCTCGTTGAAGAGTGCAAAACTCAGTCAATTTCAGGCCAGACTTTGAAACTTTTTTATCTTCCATATCCTTAACCAAAGAGGATGCACCCAGTTGAGCTCCATCTGCCCTCCTTGTTCCTGCCAAGTAGTAATAAATGGTCCAAACAAAGGAAACAGGAGCTAAATAAGGGAGCAGGATAAAAGCCAAATGAACAGAATAATGGATGTACCGGGTCATCAGCGACTGCGCAAGCAGGAGCCCGCCTTGCATTTTTGTAGGAGTCATTTCCTTTTTTATTTTATTCTCCCATTAGGCTAAGCACTGGATTGTGCTAACAAAAGGTCAGCACTTCAAACCCACCAATCCTTGAAAACCCTGTACAGGGTCGCTATGAGTCAGAACATTTAGCAACATCAACAGTTACCCTCCAAATTATTTTTCTCCCACAGGAAAGTTTTATGTTTAGAGGTTACTCCTAAACTCTCCCCATCCTATCTAAAAGGAATGAAAAAGCTTAAAGTGCAGAATAGGCTATACTTAGATTAACAGGAAAGAATGGAAAAAAGAGAGAAAGCCGACACATTTTAGGCACGGTAGAAAAGAGTTCTGGACAGAATGACCTCTGCCAGGACAATGCTGGGACTGAGATTCGGCCTCCCAAAGCAGGTACACAGTGTGTCTTGCTGGCGCCACCTCCTGGCTTGTCTATGCGTTTTAAATTAAAAAATTTTTGTTGCTGTTATTCCTTTTACGAAGTGTTTCCCTGTTGATGAGCTTCAGGATTTTGTTTATACATGGTTTCACAAAGTTGTCTTAGTTCCAAATTTGCACTTTCCTACTTCTGATAGAGCAGTCCCTCTAGGCCCCCGGTGCTTCCCAAATGGACAGAAGCCCCTGTTTCAGGGAGCTGACATTCCTACTTGTTGTTGTTAAGTGCTGTTGAGTCAATTCCAACCCATAATGACCCTGTATAGGGTTTCTGAGGAGCAGCTGGTGAGCTTGAACCGCTGACTTTGCACTTCAAACAGTTTTGCAGTCTGGTGCATTAACCTAGTTGTTGTTATGTGCTGTGGAGTCAGTTCCGACTCATCATAGTGACCCTGTATAGGGTTTCTGAGGCTGTAAATCTTTACAGGAACAGAAAGCCTCATCTTTCTCCTGTGGAACAGCTGGTAGTGTCGAACTGCTGACCTTGAGGTCCGCAGCGCAATTTGTAACCACTACGCTACCAGCAACAACGCTACCAGCTACCAGAGCTCCTATTAACCTAGTTGTTGTTGTTAAGTGCCATTGAGTTGGTTCCGACCCATAGCGGTTTCCGAGGAGCAGCTGGTGAGCTTGAACTGCCGACCTTGCAGTTCAAATGGCTTTGCAGTATGGTGCATTAACCCACAACGGCACACCAGGACTCCATTTAACCTAGTTGTTGTTGTTAGTGCCATTGAGTTGGTACTAACTCACAGCGACCTTATGTACAGCAGAATGAAACACTGCCTGATCCTGGGCCAACCTCACTACTGTTGCCGGGCTTGACTCCATTGATGCTGCCACTTGGCCAATCCATCTCGCTGGGGGTCTTCCTCTTTTTCTCTGACCCTCCACCTTACCAAACATGATATCCTTCTCCAGTGACGGGTCCCTCCTGACAATATGTCCGAAGTATGAGACACGAAGTTTAGCCATCTTGGCTTCCAAGGAGCACTCTGGCTGCAATTCTTCCAAAATGGATTTATTGGTTCTTTTGGCAGCCCATGTAGAGAGGGACAATAGGAGGCAAGCATTTTCCTCTAGGAACTTGCCTCTATCTTGATCAGTTGACTTTATTGTAGGTGTTTCTGTTGTTGCTTTCCAGCCATTATGATTTGGAGTAGGTGTCAAGAGGATCCTAAATGCAAAAAGTCAAGAAAAAACAAAACAAAAACTTCTCCCTTCTCGTTTCTGCTCAGACTCTGGCTTCTTTATTTCACTTCCAACTTCTCCCTAGCCGGCTCATTTGTCACCCTGGATTTTGACTGTATAACCAGTGCATTTTGTTGCCTTCTGGCGCCATCTCCTGTCCTTTCTAATGCAGTGAGAAGTGACAACATTTGAGAATCAGAGTGTGTGGCAACTTCCTGTCTCACTGGTTCCTTTTAGGTTAAAAGGTTGTTTTTTTCTACTTCAACTTTTATTGTGAGCTGAATGAAGGTTTAAAGAGCAGATAATCAGTTTTACATTCAACAAATCAAATACTTTGTTTTATTACATGGTTGTAATCCCTTCCATGTACCAACAACAGTTAGCAGCATTTACCTCTATTCACTTTAACACTTGCATTCCTTTCCGTGTCTTCTGCTATCTTCCTTTTTCCTCTGCTAACGTCCATTGTCTTGTTATATATTGCCTGCCCTATACCCGTGCCAAAATGTGTCTACCCCGAGGCCAGGAATAATTATTGCCCCCTAACCAACAGATCTGTGTTGGAGGAAGTGCAGCCAGAGTGCTGGTTGGAGGCCAGGATGGCCAAACTTCATCTCTCATACTTCGGACATATTGTTAGGAGGGACCAGTCACTGGAGAAGGATATCATGTTTGGTAAGGTGGAGGGTCAGAGAAAAAGAGGAAGACCCCCAGTGAGATGGATTGGCAAAGTGGCAGCATCAATGGGCTCAAGAGTGGCAACAATAGTGAGGCTGGCCCAGGATTGAGCAAGTGTTTCCTTCTGTTGTGCATAGAGTCACTATGAATCAGTACTGACTTGATGGCACCTAACAACAATAACAACCATCACCAGCTGCTCCTCAGAAACCTTGTACAGGGTCACTATGAGTCAGAACTGACTCAATGGCACTTAACAACAATAGTCATAGAATGTTTCTTTTATCAAGAAAATCTTTTTATAACATTGGCCTCATACAATTGTTGTCCTTTTGTGATTGACTAATTTCAGTCAGCATCCATGTCCTCCAGGTTCAACCATGTTGCAAGGTGTTTCACAGATTCATCATTATTCTTCAACATTTTGTAGTATTCCACTGTGTTTATGTACCAAAGTTTGTTTAACCATTCTTCTACTGAGGGGCATTTAGACTGTCTCCATCTTTTTGGTTTGTCTTTTGTAGACAGCATATTGATGGATTCTGTTTTGTTATCCTTTCGGCTCTTGACTGGTACATTGAATCCATTTACATTCAGTGTAAGTATCAATAGGCATGAATTGATTGTGGTCATTTTTCTGTGTGTTTTTTCATGGGTGTGTATGTGGTGCCACTGGATTCTTTGTTCCACATAATTTTCTATGCTGAGTTCACTTTGTGGATTTTATTGTCATTTTTATTTCTAAATTTTTCTGATTTTCCATTTTTATTTTAAAGTGCAGGTGTATTATTTTTCTTTGAGGTTATCCTGCAACTTATTAATTTCTTTCCTGCTTAAAACAAGTCTGTTTTATCTGGAGATCTACTTGACTTCCTTGTTATTTGGAAGTTCTATGTCTACACTATTCCCTCTTTTTGCTTTGTACTTAACTTCATTATACACTGATATCTCTGGTTCCCTATTTTCAGTCTTTTAGGTTTGCTTTATTTTAAATACTTCTATATATGGATTGATTTCTGAGTGTTGTTGTCATACATGGAAAATTCAAGTTGTTGTTTGTTGTTGTGGATTCTCAGTGCAAAGAACACTCTTTAGCATTTTTTTTTTCTTCTTTTGGTGTAATCATTACAAAT